ATAAAAAAAAAAAAAAAAAAAGTTAGGTCCCAAATTTGCCGCAGTACAGTTTCACAGTTGAACTTATATAATCTATATATTAGAATTGATTCTTCACAAGTGCTGGTAAAAATGGCCATCACAGTTAGTGATGTATTGCTTTTGATTCAGGACGTTCTGATTGTCATTTAAGATTCATACAACGTGATTTATTGGACTTTAGTGAGGTTTCAATGAGAAACAGGGATGGTAAGTTAACAAATAAATCAGAAAGTATTAAAAACCTACTGTTTGTGTGTCAGAAAATGTCACCACTATAGTAAACAGGATTTTTCACACTTGTGTCCTCATTGGTTTAATCACTCTTTTAACTGCGAGTAAGTTTACTCTAACTTTTGTTCTTAATGAAAAGGAATGTCTCATAAATATATATTAATATGCCAATGACAAGAAAAGGTTGAAATAAATACATCAGAAGAGAACGAAACAAAACAAAAAAAAAAGCTAATGAATGTTCAAAATAACAGAAGTGGCAGTAATGATAATAATCTAGAATGCAAAACAGACTTCGGGGAAAGAAATGAGCAAAATATGATCTTTTGACCAGAGATGTTGGCTTGATCGTGCTAAAATACAGTTCAGTTCTCTAGAGATTTAGTGATTTTCTCTTTCACATGAAGTGTGAGCATTAACATTATGGAAGCTTGTTTCTGCAATGACATAAAAGTAAAAAGATAATTGCAAAATCTTATCTCACAGTTTGGACTTTTCCCCCTAGAATTACAAGATAGAAAGTAGGGCTGTGCGATATGGACAAAAAAAAACCTATCGCGATTTTTTTTATCAATTTTGCGATTTCGATTTTAATCACGATTTTGACACACACAGACATGCTTTACAGTCATAAATGCATTCAGTGTGAATTTGAAACATATTTCCAAAAGAAAACCAATTAGAGCTTTATCAAAAAGCTATAACATGTGACATAAGGTAAAATAATCACTAAGTAAAGGTGTAACAAAATGTCTCTATGGCAAAAAACAAAACAAAAAATCCCGTGTCCAGGGATTTTTTTTTGCCATGCATTGGTCATAGAGCTCTTTGTGACGTTGCCTCAGATGTTGAACTAAATTTGTTGTGCCAAGTTCACACGTACTCCGTCTGCAGTGCGTATACAGTACGTGTATGCGGTGCAGAAGCAGCACGGACTCATTTTGCTTTCGCACAGGACGCGTTTGCAGTCCGCTCCTGATCCGCTGCTGTTTACCACAAACACAACATTTATCCATTATTTTGATTTCAAATCCAAATGTTTCTGAACATGCTTTTTCAGCATTGTGATTCTCTCTTATCACAGTACAGTAATACAATCTTTCATAGACATATTCACGTTTAAACTCAATAAATATAACTTTAACTACCACCACGAGTGCCTATTATTGCCTTGTTTATCTAAAAGTGCACTTTTCCTTGTTTTAAATCTAGCCAAAAAGCCATGTGTTGACTGTGAAACCGTAGACTTTAATTATATGCATTTATGGTGTAATTACAAAATTTCCGTGTCAATCCATGTTAATTTTTACCACGAATAATGCGCTGTCACTTTAATTCAGCGCGTGCAGCACTGCAGAAATAGATTCCGTGCGGAAACGATCGCTGCACTGCTCAGTGTCATGCTCCATTTAGGCGCGCTGCATTCTGATTGGTTCGGATAGCATACTGCGGGAGGTCGGGAGCGTGGAAAATCGTGCTATAAAGCGATTTAGAAATTGCGCACGCTCAAATCGCGATTTTATGATTATTTCGATTAATCACACAGCCCTAATAGAAAGTCAGAATTGCGAGATTTAAACTCAGAATTATGTCATAGAAAGTCGGAATTGCAAGAGACAAACTTGGAATTGCAAGATATAAACTCAGAATTGTGAGATACAAACTCGGAATTACGAGATAGAAAGTCGGAATTCTGAGATATCAATTTGAAATTATGAGATATAAAGTTGGAATCGCAAGATACAAACTTGGAATTGTACGATAGAAAGTTGTAATTATGGGATAGAAAGTCGTAATTACAAAACAGACAGTTGGAATTGCGAGATGTAAACTTAGAATTATGAGATAGTCGGAATTACAAGATGAAAAGACGGAATTGTAAGATATAAACTCAATTAAAAGAAAAAAGTTGAAACTGAGATAAAATGTCACAATTACCTATTTTACTACTTATTCTGTGGTGGAAACAAGAAACAAAAACAAAATTGTGAGATGTAAATTCACAATTCGGTCGGAGAAGAAAAAGTTAAAATTCTGAGATTATATCTTGCAATTCAGACTTTTTTTCTGAAAATTGTGAGGAAGTTAGCATTGTGAGATAAAAAGACGCAATTACCGTTATTTTTTTATCCCATGATGGAAACAGGCTTCCGTATCACGTTTAAAAACCAAATGTTTGTGCTCTCAAAATAAATTAATGGCATGAAGATGACGGGAAAGAATGAAATGCTCATAAAAAGTGTGACATCCTACTGTAAGCTCAAGGTGCAAGTGTGAATTCATATTTACAACAGCACAAGAGAGTACACGTGATATACTAGTGTGATGCATTAATATGTGTTTTTCCCACACCACAAATGTGCAGACAAAATAAAGAAGTGTTAAGTGGATGGTACGGACGTCTCGGTTTGAATCCAATTCCATTTGGAGCATCTTTCTGTTTCCAGTAATCAAAACACTCTTTGCCAGAATCCACAGACAAAACAATTCAAGTTTTGATGGAACGTGATAAAACAGTATCAAACACTGGATCTGGAGATCTGGGTGTGGACGTGATGTTTCTCCTCACCAGTGCTCCAGGTGCAGGTCCATGGCCGAGTTCAGGCTGATGTCGGTCACATCCAGGAACTCCGTGTTGAAGATGCTCGGCCCGGACGGTGGCAGGCCGTTGTGGAAGGCGGTGGCGGAGCTGGGCGGAGTCAGATCCAGCCATTCCATTGTCTCCCACGGTGACTCCGCGAAGGTCATTCCGAGGCCGTGACCCTCGGCGGCAACCGCGGAGATCTTTCCGGCCATGGGCGATACGGGCGTGTCCATCATGTCGCGGCTGTTGAATCCATCACCCGCCTCCAAGCGTCCGTCCTCGGCGGGCATCTTCAGGAGCGCCGCGTCTCCTTGCGTCCGGCTCATGGGACTCAGCAGCACCTCCAGATGAGCATCTCCGTGAGCCGCCGCGTGATCGTAAGCGAGCATGGAGGGCGACATGTGACTGTAGTGTCGGTGGAACTTGGGCGAAACTGTAAGGTGAGGCACAACTTTGGTTACAGGAAACCTCTCTTCTTTGGCGTTAGCAGGCATTTCTTTAAAACAAGACAATGACAGCACAAAGAGTGACTTTAATAGTCAATAACAGCTGGGTGTTACTGTGTGAAATGAGGGGCCTTACGAACGTTTCATTTAGGACTAAAGGGATAGTTCACCCAAAAATTAAAATTCTGTCATCATTTATTCACCATCAAGTTGTTCCAAATCTGCAGTATAGAAGGCATTTTGAAGAATGTTGGATGCCAAACAGTTTCTGGTGCCAATTGACTTCCACAGTATAAAAAAAAAAAATAATAATAATAATATGGACATCAATGGCTACCATCAACTGTTCGGTTACCAACATTCTTCAAAATATCTTTTTTTGTGTTCAGAAGAAGAAAGAAACTCCTACAGGTTTGGAACAACACGAGAGTGAATAGTTCACCCAAAAATGAAAATTCTGTCATCATTTATTCACCATCAAGTTGTTCCAAATCTGCAGTATAGAAGGCATTTTGAAGAATGTTGGATGCCAAACAGTTTCTGGTGCCAATTGACTTCCACAGTATATAAAAAAATAATAATAATAATAATATGGACATCAATGGCTACCATCAACTGTTCGGTTACCAACATTCTTCAAAATATCTTTTTTTGTGTTCAGAAGAAGAAAGAAACTCCTACAGGTTTGGAACAACACGAGAGTGAATAAATAATGACAAAATTCAAAAGCTGATGAGGAGAGACTCACCTCCGCTCTCGATGAGGACGTCTAGAAGCTCATCCATCTGCTGGCTGCGCGACATCTGCTGCAAGAACATCACAGGATCATTTAATCGTGTTAGTATTTGATGCTGTCAACACATTTGTGACACATTCCATGCCTTTGCTTTAACCCTCATAATGCACTCGGGTCCGTTTTGGCACGGAAGAGATGCATAAAAAATAAGCCGTTTTTAGTAAGGGAACTACATTTTTCAAGGGCTCTAAGACCCTCAAAATACTCAAATAGATTTTTTAAGAGTTTCATGTTTGGTTCATTTTGGCCCGGGCATGTATGGAGTACCATTAGTGCCAAAAATACTTGTAAAATTATTTATGAGGTTGTGTTAGTGTCTAAAAACATAAAAAATAAGCCGTTTTTAGTAAGGGAACTACATTTTTCAAGGGCCCTAAGACCCTCAAAATACACAGCATTTAGTCGTTTCAGATTTTTTAAGAGTTTCATGTTTGGTTCATTTTGGCCCGGGCATGTATGGAGTACCATTAGTGCCAAAAATACTTGTAAAATTATTTATGAGGTTGTGTTAGTGTCTAAAAATGTTTGTGAAATATATTTAGCTTTTTTTCCCACATCTCACTGAATTTTGTTGCTAAACCTGTATATGTACGTCTATTAATGAACCACTGCAGCATGAAAATTAGCTCTTTTTTTCATCTGAAAATTAAAGTTTAAGTAAAATTAGTTTATTTAGTTTGAAAACTTTTGAGAGTAAAATTTATGTTGTTTTTATATAAATAAATATGTAGCGGTCATAAATTTGGACTGTTTTGAGTAATCATGAGTTATAATTTAAAGGAATTTAATAAAATTCTATCCATTCCAATGGGGTTAATGCTGGTAATCCTGGTTTCTCATACATATGTATTTTTTGTGTGTGTGTGTTTCATTTGACATTTAAAAGAATTTCTTTTTTTTTATATATAAAAAAGGGTAAATGCAATCGTAACATGGTAATAACAGTCAAAACGCTGATTTTTTTTGTTTTTAACATTCATTCATTAATGAGAAATTGAAATCAGATATACTATGGTTTTAGTTTAGTTCTATAAAATAATTATTTGGGAACAAACACATGGAATGTGAAAACAGTATACAGATTTTGAATGCATTACGAGGGTTAAGAGTGTTAGATGTATGAACAGATTTTGTAGCTGACGGCATTCAAACGCGTGTACTGGAGCTGGTTACGCTTAGACTTGTTGGCAAATGCTATTTTTTGCAGGCGGTTTCAAGGACAACAATCACTAGAAAGTACAGCAGGGTTTCCCAAACTGAGATCGTGGGTTGATAAAAATAATAACAATTAGTTTTAATAGTAATAATATGAGCAGCTAATAACTGCTCATATTATATGTAAAATTAAAATAAATCAATGAGGCTGCACGATAATCAGAGTGATTATCAAATCAAAGTCAGTGATTTAATTCAATATCTGCATATTCTGTGTTTCAGAGTGAAGTGCAGCACCGTGTTCGTGCCATCCGGTGTTTTCAGCATCTCACAGTAAATGCACTGAACTCCATCACTGTATATAAATGTAGCATGCATCAGGGAACGCAATATGCACTAGCTTTATTCACACAATCACATCATTTCTAACATTTTTGTGGACAGAATTTTACAGCGTTTCATTAATATCACTATTACAACTTGTAGCGTAAAATCAAATTGTTATTATTATAATCACTGTAATTTACAACAGTAATATATTTTATTTATAGTAATATTTTTAATATTTATATATAGTTATAGTTACAGTTTAAACAACAACAATAATAATAATAATAAATATTATTATTAAATTAGCTTGAGTTCCTAAAGCACCAGTGTGAATATAAAGTTGACTGAATTACTGTCACAACTAGGAAAAAGTGCAGCATTATACATTTTAAAATTTTTTATAATTACTTAAAATTATAAATATCTAATAATAATAATTAATTTTATTATAATATTTTTAATATTATATATTGATAGAATAATATTTTTAATATATAACATTTTATATTTATTATTATTATTATTATTCAATATACTGGGTTCCTAAAACACCAAGGTGAATGTAATGTTAAACTAAAAAGAGGTTGGAGTTCACTTCAAAATCCAACTGTAGAGTCAAAATAAAAATAATAATAATTGTAATGATTTTTTTTCAAATATATTTAATAATTGAATAATAGTTACCTGTGATACTTAATAATAACTATAATACTTCTTAATTAGTCTGACAGAAGCGTTTGGGAATCCCTGCAGTACACTGATGCAGCGCTGTACGTCTCCACGCAGTCAGTAAAGCTGTAGAGACGCAGGCAGAAGCTCCGAGAGCGTGAGCAGCGTGAGAGCGGATCCTGAGCTGCTTTACCTGTTTCACTGCATCCTCATAACACGGCGGCCCTTTACTGCCGGAGGCAGGGGGATCTGAGCTACAGAAGGCAGTGCTGGATGTGGGAGACTTGGGCTCAACATGCCGCGGAGAGAGAGACAGAGCCTCCTACAGGAGACAGGGCCAAACGTTACACCTCTGAGGAGCCAGAGGAGCCCAGCTCTCTGATCAGTGTGTGTGTGTGTGTGTGTGTGTGTGTGCGGTGGCACCGAATCTATCAGACGCTTCCCCAGCAGGACGGCGTGACCTCTGACCTCTGACCCAGTGACAATAAACACATCATCCATGTGTGTGGGCATGTGCTGACGTCACATGATCATTGAGCAGCACATGTGATTAAACAATCTCACACGACCAGCCAAACATTAGGAATTATGAAGAGTTTTTAATGTTTGAGAAAGAAGTCCGGTCCGCTCACTAGGGCTGCATTAATTTGATCAAAAATTACAGTAAAAACAGTGAAATATTGTTGCAATTTAAAATAACTTGTCCATGTGAATATATGTTAAAATGTAATTTATTTCTGTGATGCGCAGCTGTATTTTCAGCATCATTCCTCCAGTCTTCAGTGTCACATGATCTTCAGAAATCTGTATAATATGCTGACTTGCTGCTCAAGAAACATTTCTGATTATTATCAATGTTGAAAACAGTTGTGCTGCTTCATATTTTTGTGGAAACCGTGATACATTTGATTTTTCAGGATTCTTTGATGAATAGAAAGTTCAAAACAACCGCATTTATTTGTAATAGAAATTTTTGTAACATTAGAAATGTCTTTACTGTCACTTTTGATTTTTCTTTTTTTTTTTTTTTTAAATGACCCCAAACTTTTGAATGGTAATGTATGAAAATTCAGCTTTGATCACAGGAATAAATATAATTTTACGTGTAGAATTCATCTATTTTATATTGTAAAAATATTTCACAATATTACAGTATTTACTGCATTTTTGATCAAATAAATGCAGCCTTGATGCGCAGATGAGACTTCTTCCAAAAACATAAAAAAATCAGAATTATTCCGAACATTTTGACCGTTTGTGTTCATTGATTGAGACGCATGATTGATACTCTTTTAACAGAAGCCCGGTGGAATTGAGACTTACTGTTACAGGAGCCGATCAGAATGTGTGATGGTGTGCTGTGAGTTTTTGTGAGTGATGAATTGGATGAGTTGAGTTTGATTCTTCACGTACTTTCTGCTGCATGCCGCTGCTCTTGGCTTTGGTGGATCCTCTGGCGCTGAGGCTGTTGTCTGATGGATTCTGATGGTAAAGCGGCTGCAGGTTTCTCTGATCTGACGGATACGAGCAGCTCGCCGTCTGTCCCGCACTCTTCTGCTGTAACTGAGAGATTTCAGCCGTTAGTCACTGAATCAAAAAACAAACATCAATGTCCAGGTTGAAGAAAAGGAAGAATCTTTCACAAATTCCAGCTTCCAAGTACTCTTCATGTTAAATATATACTTTCTTTTCTTTTTGTGGCAAATTATAACTATAATATTGTTCAGCTCTTTATAGAAAAAAAGTTGTGTATGGAAGAATATTCGACTTTATCCACATGCATACTGTGCCTGATTTCTTGTATTGTTGCAAAATGTGACTACTGTATATTATCGTTTACCTCTAATCTGATAAATGTGACTATGAGGCATAATATTAAGATATTATAACCATTAACATTCATGTAAAGCTGCTTTAAAACAATGTACATTGTGAAAAGTGCTATACAAATAAGTTAAATCTATATTAAATCTAATGACATAAAATGTCCCTAAATCTTCAACTCGTGTGAAAGTACACACCTTTAAACATTTTGTCAAGATAAAAGTTTAAAAAAATTATCATCAAAATGTTTAAATAACAAAAATAAATATGAATAATATGAAATCATAATATTAATTGATAAATGTCGTTAAGTTCCAGAAAGTTATACTCCTAAATCTTAAATATTTGTAAAAGTACACAATGATTTAATTATTATTATTATTAACTATACAAAGTATTTTATATGTACATAAATGCATTTTTAAAATAAAAGTATTAAGTATTTACAGATATAAAAATATATTTAAATAATTACATTTATATACAAAATATTAAATTAAAATATTAATTCATAAATACCATTACATTTTCGCACCACATGACATTTTACAACCTGAACTGACCTTGCCTATAGGTATAATAACGTATATAATAATCTCTCTGATATTATTTTCTGCTTATGTCAGTCATGACTTATATTTAGCAAACAAAATTTTGTCAAATAATAATAAGCATTTCTTTTAAATAGAATTTTAATAATAAAAAACTATTGCATTGTATTTTTATTGTATTTAGTTAGTTATTTTTTCCACCCAAAAATATCAATTGTTTTCAAATATGTCCATATAGTTTTTATTTCAATTTTAGTTTTCGATATTTAAGTGCATTACGTTAACCTGAAAGAAAATGAAAAATGTTGCTTTGGAAACTCACTGATATAAAATAAGTTTAAGGTGTTCTATATTTTGTTTTATTTCAGTTAAGATTGATTTTATTTCAAGTAATGACAACGTATTTATGGTTTTAGTTGGAACTAACTATAATAATCGTGTTGTGAATGAATGAACAGATGAATTGTTCGCATCACTGAATCACTGTTTTCTTGTCTATAACTGTAAAGCTGTATTGTATAAACTGCTATAGAAATCAATGTGACTTGACAGACGTGTGCATGTGCCGTGGATCACCTGTATGTTGCGTGCGGCTCTGCTTGCGCTCTGAGGCAGTGTGTGTGAGTCTCTCAGCAGGTACGGCTGGCCGGGGGACGAGGGGCTGCTGGAGGGTTTGGTGAGGGGCGACTCTTCAGGAGAACACTGAGGGCTCAGGAACGCAGACAGGCCGGCGGGGCTTGCAGATGACGGCGGCCCCCTGCAGTGCGGCGCAGCGTGCAGATCACAGTGAGCCATGCAGCTGCCTTTCATCTGCTTGGCAGCCAGAGGACAGCTGGACGCCACCTGCTCCTGCTTGACGGACACGCCGTAGAACTGTTGCATCTGCGCAGGAGGCTGCAGATGCATCATGTGCTGCGGCGGAGCGGGACAGTCCTGCATGCGCTTCCTCTTGTGCAGCTGCATGCGCAGCTCCTCCACCTGCCTCTGCTCCTGGTGCAGCTTCCACGTCAGCTCCTCGATCACCTTCTGCTTCTCCACCAGCATCTTGTCCTTCTCGGCGTCCGGTCCCAGCATGCTCTGGCCCTCGTCTGCGCTCAGCTGTGCCGGCGACGGCTGCAGGCCGAACTGCGGCGAGGACATGGTGACGTCGCTGAAGCTGTCGGGCAGCGAGCCGCTGACGGAGAGATCGGATGAGGCCGGAGAGATGGGCGGTGTGGAGCCGCTGCTACAGAACGGGTAGAAGCCGGCGCCGTGCGACTGGTAGGACGAGAGCGATCCAGTGGGCGTCACGGGGAATGCGGCTGCGCTGACGTCTGCAGAAGTGGCCGGAGAAGAGTCTTTGAAGGGCCGCAGGCGCTCTATGAGCGCCGTCTTAGTGCCAGACACCGGCAGACCGCGGATCCGCAGCTGCTGCCTGAGTTCAGACACCTGGCAACACACAAAACAGTCAGGCAAACAGTTCCAACTAGCTCAAATTAAAAACTTTAGTTGCTGCGTTAAATATTTAATCCTCATAATGCATTTCAAATTTGCATAATGTTTTCACATTTTGGGTACGTTTGGACCCAAATAAGACCCAGTGAGTCATAACTATTCATTTTCAATTAAAATCATATTGCATCTTTGAATGTTATTACCATGTTATTACTGGTTTTAGCCATCTTTTATTAATTTAATTTTTTTTTTTAATTCTTTGAAATTTCAAATTACACATGAACACACCATTTTTTTCTATGATGTTGAGGAATATACATATGAATATATCATTGTATGAAAATTATAAGAGCATATAATCTTAAAATGACTAGGAATAAATCCATTGGAGCGAATAGGATTTAAATAAATGCCTTTGTTTATAATTCATGATTGCTCAAATTTTTAATTTTACTTGCATAAACATGTAAAACAAATTTTTTTAATAATTATAGATCTTAAAAAACAAGTGTAAAAAAACAGATGAATGATGTGTATTTGCAAAGTTTTGGTTCCTTGCTAAAAACCTATAGTGTTTTTTCATGCACTGGTCAGTTTGGGGTTTTAAACTCTTAATATGTCAACAAACTCAAAACCAGAATTTTGAACATGAATTTATCCAATCAGATTTATGTTGTGGAAATTTAGGCGCACATTTAATGAAACAATGCCTCATTTGCATATTTAAACCTAACATTTGTCTGAATGTACTGTGATTAATCAGCTGGTTTGGTACGCTGATACCCATTAGTGAGACCTGTAGTGTTGACACACACCTTCCTCTTTAAAATCTACAAGCTTCTGGTTTCCAGTCCAGATCTTTAACCCCTTCATCGCACCATGACGTGACGTGTCAAAGCGCAGCACTGACCTTCAGGTCGTCCAGATTGGCGGGCAGCGGTCCGGGTCTGACGGGGCTGATGGACGGGTTGCAGTAGCTGCTCTTCACTGGAGACGAGGAGCTGCTGCTGGTCTGGATGCTGGACGCACATGATGACTGCTGTTCACCGGACGCCCTGTCACACACACAAACACACAATTATGCTTCTCATGATCAGAAAACTGCCTAAATGAATAAAAAATAAAAAATTTTTTATATACTGTATACTTCTGTTCAAACATTTGGGGTCTGTAAGATTTTGAGGCTCTTCTGCTCATCAAGGCTGCATTTATTTGATCAAAAAAACAGTAAAATTGTGAAATATTATTACAATGTAAAAATAATTTTATATGTGAATATATGTTAAAATGTAATTTATTCCTGTGATTATAAAGCTGTATTTTCAGCATCATTACTCCAGTCTTCAGTGTCACATGATCCTTCAGAAATCATTCTAATATGCTGATTTGCTGCTCAAGAATCAATATTATTATTACGTTAAAAACAGTTGTGCAGCCAAACATGTTCGTGGAAACCATCATATATTTTATTTTTCATGATTCTTTGCTGAATAGAAAGTTCAAAATAACAGAATTTATTTGAAATAGAAATCTTAATGCTTTATAAATGTCTTTACTGTCACTTTTGATCAATTTAAAGGGTTAGTTCGTCCAAAAATGAAAATTCTGTCTTTAATTACTCACCCTCGTGTTGTTCCAAACCCGTAAGACCTTCGTTCATCTTCGGAACACAATTTAAGATATTTTTGATGAAATCTGAGGGCTCTCTGACCCTCCCATAGACAGCAAGGTAACTACCACGTTCAAGGTCCAGAAAAGTACCAAGATGATCGACAAAGTAGTCCGTGTGACATCAGTGGTTCA